CCTTTTCATTGCATTTGTATGGCCACAATCCTAGTTCATACCTTCATTACCACTTACCTGGATTATTGTATTATTCTCTTCACCAATCTCTCTGCCCCCATCCTTCTCCTCTCCAATACATTTTTTTTTTTGAGGCAGTCAGGGTTATGTGACTTGCCCAGGGTCCCACAGCTGGGACCTGAGTGACTGAAGCTGGATTTGAACTCGAGTCCTCCTGACTCCAGGGCTGGTGCTCTATCCACTGCTCCACCTAGCTGCCCCTCCAATGCATTCTTCACACAGACACCAAAATAACTTTTCTGTGATATAGATATGACCATTACTTTCCTGCTCAAAAATCTTCAGTTTCTGTTTATTGTTTTTAGGATAAAATATAAATTCCTTTGAATGTCCCATCAAAATTGTTCTACAATCTAGCATGGAGTGGTAAAATCAAAAGGAGTTAGCTATCAGAAAGTAAGAGAGGAAAGGGAGGAGGTCAAAGATAGCTCCAAGATTAGAAACCTGGGTAATAGGGAGGGTGGTAGTATCCTCAATAGAAAAGAGGAATTAAGAGAAGAGGGTAGGCTTGGAGGACTTCCCTCATTGCAATTAAATGGGAATTTTGGGGGAGTTTTATGAAAGCCACAGACAACACATGAGGGGCAACAGATGACACAGAAAATGTTTAAAAACTCAGAAATGCATAAATATATGTATAGTATTATATAGTATCAACATATTTTATCTTTGAATGCCATCATAATTTAGACCTCTCTGTATGAAGGAAGGACCAAAAAAATTTATGCAGATTTTCTACATTGCGGGGCTGCTGTTCCCCTAACTCCTGCGACATGGAAGGGATAACTCTATATTGAACTGAGATGTCCAGTAGGTAGCCTAGACTTCAGGAAACAGATAAAGCCTAGATATATAGATCTGAATGGAGTATATGCTTACGCACGTATAAAAAGAAGACCCAGAACTGTGGCAGGGCTAAACAGATTGTTCACGTAATGGAATGTTACTGTACCATAAGAACAATCAATATCATTTCTGCATAGTACCTTATTCTTTATTAAAAGACTTGGGTCACTGGGTAGGTGGGAGATGTAGTCAGAAATAAAGGTGATATAAAAATAAGAGATAGCAATAAAAAATAAATAAAGATGAATATCCAGAAGTGAGCTGTACACTATGCTTAGTGCAGTAGTTCTTAACCTCAGGTCCATGAACAATGTCAGGGAATTTGTGGACTGAGAAATGAGTGGATGGCGAAGAAGCAGCAAGTGTAATCAACACCCCCCCCCCAGGAATTTGGCAGCGAAAGGGAGGATGGATGTAGGATGAGAGCTTGTAGGAGTAGCAGAGTCAAATGAAGATTCCTTTAACACTGTGAAGTTTTGGGACCTTCATGAAGTCAGATGGGGGAAGAGAGACAGAGATAGAGAAATGGACCACTTTCTAGGAGAATACAAGATAGGATGGAAACAAATGCGTACGTGAAAATATTCACTTTGGAAAGGTGACAGAGACCACCTCTTCCTTTGAGGTATGAAGCAAAGAAAATGAGAGAACTCCCAAGAGATGGCCTTGATTTTTCTCAGTAAAGTAGGAGGTGAGGTTCTGTTCTGCCAAAGGGGTTTGGGAGTGATTTGGGTATTTGAAGAGGTCTGGAGCAGGCACTTGGGTGCTTGACAGAATGTTAATGAGGGAAAAATAAGCATTATTGTGCCCCAATGAGACCCCAGTTGAGACCAAGCACCTTGAATATGTAGGACTCGACACAATTATCTGACTCTCTAGCAATGTTCAATAGCTCATTGTGTGTGTGTGTGTGTGTGTGTGTGTGTGTGTGTGTGTGTGTGTGTGTGTGAGAGAGAGAGAGAGAGAGAGAGAGAGAGAGAAGATGGGGTGGATGTTGAAGTGGGATTTGAGCCCAGGTCTTGCTGACTCCAAGCCTAGCTCTCTATTCACTATGCCTGCTCTCTATTCACTATGCCTGCTCTCAAAGGGTTCCCAATCTAAGCAAGCATACAACATACAAACAACCATCTACAACCAGGATATAGACAAGATAAATTTGAAATGATATCAGAGGGAAGTCACTAAGATTAAGGACTGGGAAAGGCTTCTTGTAGAAGGTTGGACTTTAGCTGAGTCTTGAAGGAATCCAGGAAAGCCAGGAGGCAGAAGTGAGGAGGGAGAGTATTCCAGTTATGGTGGACAGGCAGTGAAAATGTTTGGAGGCAGGAAATTGGAGTGTCTTGTGTGTGAGGAACTGAAAGATGCCAGTGTCAGCAGATTATAGAGTGTGTGGGGAGGCATAAGGTGAAAGAAAATTGGAAAGAGAGGAAGGGGCCAGGTTATGGGAGGCTTTAAAATCCAAACATAGGATGTTATATTTGAACCTGGAGGCAAAAGAGAACCATTGGAATTTATTAAAAAAGGGCTGATAACATGGTCAGATTCATGTTTTAGGAAGATTAGTTTGGCAGCTAAATGGAGGATGAAATAAGGGGGGGTGGGTGGGTAAAGTTTAGGTAGAGAGACCAACAATAAGGCTATTGCAGTAGTGCAGGTAAGAGGGGATTGAAGGCCTGCACCAGGCTGGTGGCAGTGTTAGAAGAAAGAAGAGAACACATTTAAGAGAGGTTAGAGAGGTAGAAATGATCAGATTTAGCCACTACATGTATCAAATGTTTGACTTGTTTGAAAGAGAGATTGCTTTAGTGTATAAACTTTCTTTTCAAAATATTAAAGCTATTAAGGTTATTGTAGTTATATGTATATGTGTGTTTTTTAATATTTTTATGTATCTGATGTAAAGTCTCGATTAATAAGACCGATCAGGTTACTATTTTTTTTTCAGGCAATTGAGAATTCATTAGAAAATTATTCTTGTTCCAGTTCTGTCAAAAATTCTTCTAAAATATATCTATTTAGATGCTTTCCTGCCTTAATATAGTATTGTGAACATAACTGAATCTTTGTTGATTAAACAGTATACTCTCTCCATTCACACCCACATCTACCCTGTTTCAGGCCCTCATCACCTCTCAATTGGGACTATTTTAATAGCCTTCTAATTAGTCTTCCTGCTTAAGATCTCTCCCCCTCCAATATGTCCTCCACACATATATTGAAATAACCTTCCTAAGGCACAAGTCTGACAACATCATTCTCCTCCTTGACAATTCAAGACTTCAAGACTCATTTCAAATCCCACCTAATGCAGAATACCTTTCCCTACTCCTCTTCCTTCCAGCATGACACCCCCGTCCCCAAGTAAGTTTTTTGGTCTTTTTGCATGTTGTTCCCCCTATTCAGATGTGAGTTCAAGAGGCAGGTATTATCTTGGCTTTTTTTTTTAATCACTGTTCTTTATTTAATGACTGGCACATAGCAGGTGCTTAATCAGTGCTTGACTGTTCAACTGACTGGTTCTAGGACAAAATACATTATGTCCCAAAAGTCAGTGACATTTAAAGCTAATTAAGCAATTTAAAAAGCTTAAAACTGATCTGCAGGAGTTCCCTAGCCCAGCCTTTAAGATCCTCCATGATCCATCTGTAACCAAACTTTCCATCCATAACACATTCTAGTCCCCTTCATACACTCTGTATTCTATCCAAAATGCACTAATTATTCCCTGCCTTTGGGATGCCATAACCTTACCTCTGGGCATTTGCATAAATCATCCCTTTATTCCTGGAATGTATAGTCTCCTCATCTCAACCTTGACTTACTCTTCTTTGAACCCAGAATGTCCATGTTCTCTCCCTCCTCAAATTACTTTGAAATTATTATTTTCTATCTTCATATGATCATAGATTTAGAGTTGGAAAGGACTTTGGAAGTCACCTAGTTCAATTATACTCATTTGACAAATGAAACAAAGTCTCAGAGAAGTGAAAGGACTTGCCCAAGGCCTCCCAAGTAGTAAGTGACAGAGAGCCAGAATTCAAATCCATTGCTTTTCCACTGAACTATGTGGCTTATTGGTTCCTCCCGATAGAATTTAAATTCAATGAAGAAAGAAGACCTTTCATTTTTGTCTTCTATTCCCAGCATATAAATTAAATCTTTGCAAATAGTAATCTCTTAAATGTTTATTCAACTAAATTAATAATAATAACATACACATATGTACATACATTTACATGTGTGTATACACACACACACACACACACATAAGGACTTACTATAGTGCTTACTATGTGCCAGGCACCGTCCTAAACACTTTATAGTTTACCTCCTTTAATCCTCACAACAGCCCTGTGAAGTAGGTGCTTATTATTATCCCCATTTCATTGGTGAGGAAACTTAGTTGAACTAAGTTGAATTGAATTGATGATCTTGTAATACTTCAAGATAAATTTTCTGAACATCTTTGTTTGTTTGTTTATTGGAGATTTGTTCCAATATGTACTGACCCTAGGATATATCTAAAAATTGTTAGGAATATTCCTTTAAAAGAAAAAAAAGACAGATCTGATTTAGCTAGTTGTGGGTCTTTTGTTTTTTTTGTTTTTTAATTTCCCTATCTTTTAAAATTAGAATATGGTGGGGTTGGGGGTAGTGGGAATTCTCCTTGATTGAATGGCCTGGTTAGTTGATACAAGTAGGATTATATTAATATGAAAAACTAATAAATTATAAACTTCTCATTCTCCACCTTTTTACCCCTTCTCTTTGGTAATATTAACTACACCAAGTTTGTGATACTCAGATGGCATTTTGTTGAAGGTTTAAGCATAACTTGTTTTCTTTTCAATTGACTTTAATCATGTTCTTGGTATTCTCAGCGATTACTCTCAGGGAAAAACTGGGAGTTGGGTTATATTTCAAAACCTAATATTAAAAAAAAAGATTGATCTGTGCAAAGGAATTGATTAAAAAACATCCATTTTGTGAAGGAAAATATGACCAATAACTATAATATAAGCATTGTAAATGAAAGATGATTTTTTTTTAGTTGACTAAAAGAGGATTGAAGTTGTTTTCTTTTTTGAAAACAGGCCCATGCACAGTTAGTTCGAGAAGTTGATGTGGAGAAGGTGTCCGCTTTTGAGAATCCATACGTAGATGCAATAAAGAGTTTATGGAATGATCCTGGAATCCAAGAGTGTTATGATAGAAGACGGGAATATCAGTTATCTGACTCAACCAAATAGTGAGTATATGTCATGAAGGCTATTTCTCTCCACTTCATTTAAATATTTGCTGAGATAACATTTCTCTCTGCTATAGTGTAGAACTTCTACTATTAAGCATTCCCTTTGAATCAAACTTCAAAACTGGATGTGTGGACTTAAAATTTGATACAGGTATAGTTCTGGGCTATATTATGAAGAAGCTCATTGTAAGTAGAGATTTATTCATTTAATTTATATCTCCATTGCCTAATACAGTGCCTGGCACACAGTAGGCAACTTTTTGATTGATTGATTCCAAAGTAACCTGAGGAACAGAAAGATATGACTCCATCCTCTCCTTTCCTTCCCAAATTGCAAAGCAGCTCTTCCCAAATACACATTCCATTGTGATGTTGAAATAGTATAATAATAATAATTTTCAGTAGAGATTTGTTGTCTTGTTCAGATGCTACAAAACACCTACATGCATTTGAAAACTGCAAACAAAAAATATGCTTGATTATATAGCCTCTTGAAAAAACTTCAGACTACCCTATCTCTGGCTGTCACAGACAGAATCTCTGCTGCTTTTTTTTGAAGGCAGCATCATGTTGATTGGCAGGTTTTCCTTTGCATGAGCATTGTGTGCAAGTCTAATTATACCTGCATTCCTGAATTATTTTGTGAGCTGTCAAAGAAAATAGTATGCACTGAGAATGATTTGCTTCCTAGAGAGATCTATTTGTTACCTCTCCTGTGTCTGCTTAGCAGAAAGGGAAGTGAAGACTTAGCAATTATATCTGGTTAATGTGATGAATGTAAACAACAATTCAATCAGGCCTCAAAATGGATTCCCCCTCCCTAATCCCTTAGCCAAACTTGGATCTTCAATGATCATGCAAACCAAGTATTTGTTGAATTTTCACTTAATCTAGATCTATGTAGACAGAGGCACAAGTGGGAAATATTCTGTGAAATCTCAAATTAGTAGTTTGATGTAAGCTGTGTAGTGCACTCAGGAAAATGGCAAATTAGCATTGAATCAACAATGCTCTGGATACAAATGGTAGAGTTCCTACTTACTTATTTGGTTCTCTTCAAAATTTAATTCTTAATAATCTATATAGGTTATCAGGTATCTTTTGGCTAAAATATTTTCCCATAATGCAGTGCTAAAACTTCAGTTGAAAAATCTTGGAATATGAAGTGGAATACTCATAAGAGCCCGTCATATTCTGATTGGTGTTTAGCCTACATGTCTTTGGTGGTGAAAATATTTTGTGTCCTCCCTGGAATGCCTGTGTTGCTCATTTCTTTCACTTCTTAGCCTTTCTTCTTTTTCACCCTGTATTTTTCCCCAATTTTCTTCCCCTCCTGACATCTTTAGCTGATGCAACAACTTTGCCTCTAGAGTTATTTGTTGAAGCTTCCATCTCCTCATATGGTCTTCTTTTTCCTGTCCCCGTTGGCTTTTTTCTACTTTCTCAGCTTCCACTAATTTCATCATGTTCCATTACATTCCCTAACCATGATTCTGGACTCATGCTCATCGTGCTTCCTTCTCTACCCATCACCCTACCACCAACCTCACCTCATATAATCTCAGTTCTACCTGCTACTCAACCTTCTACTATTACTTTGCACTTTTCACTTGGCTATGTTGTTGCCAGTTCTGGGACCCTTTATTCCTTTCTCCTCTAGCCCTCATCTTTTCTCTCCTATCCTTTTTACCCTTCTGTTTGTGTTTTGTTTCTTCCCTATTCTTCCTACTTCAAACTTTACCTGTTCATCTCTAACCTTTGCCTGTGGCTTATTCCCCACCTAATGAGATTTTGCTTCTGGGAATCAGATCACCATACCAAAAATGAGGTAAGTGCTCACCAGGATTAAGGGCTTCTCCCTAAGGAAACTACAGCCATACACTAGGTCTGTATTTCTTGATTTCGCACTCTTTTTGTAGGTCCTTCATTGAGAACCTAGTGACCACCTCCACAGTCTACTAGTGGTAGCTCCCTTGGTGAGGTCCTGGTGGTATTTGTAGTGGTGGTTTCTCGGTCTCTCAGGGATGCCCTGGTAATGTGTCCACAGACTTGATTGAGAATTAGGGACTCTTCACCCTCCCTGTCTAAGGAGAGAAAAGGTGTATCAGGTAATAACCTTCTGATACTATGAAAGGCACTATCTGGGAATCATGCCAATGCAGGATAAAGGAAAATAGCTACATAAGCATTCCTGGGTATAGTGTGTAGAGAGCCAGTTATGGAGTCAGAAAGGTCTTGGTTCAGTTCCAGCTGCTGACACATACTAGCTAGATGCCCACGAGCAAGTCACTTAACTTATCAGTGACCCAGGCAACTCTCTAAAGCTATATGTTACAGATGAGTTCTTGTTTTGTATCAGTGAAAGGAATTTCTACACCATAAATTTCCTACATGGATTAAATGACTAGGATGAAACCCCACTTAAAAAAAAATAATGCTATCTGGACTTTTTTCCTCCCAGATCTGTCCAGATTTTGCCAGTGTGGGTAATAATTCCTGGTAAAGAAATCTCTACCAATAAAAATCAACTATTATGCAATTAGGCAGCTAGGTGGTGTAGTAATTAGAGCACTGGACTTTAGTGACTTCCTGACTCCCCTCAAAAAGACCTGAATTCAAATCTGGCCTTAACATTTACTAGCTGTGTGACCCTGGGCAAGTCACTTAGCCTCTGCCTACCTCAGTTTTCTTATCTGTAATGTGAGGATAATAATAACATCTAGTAGTTCAGCTATCTCACAGGGTTGTTATGAGGATCAAATATGACAGGATTTGTAAAGCACTTTGCAAACCTTAAATTGCTGTGCAAATGCTAGCTATTATTGTCATTATTATTATTTTTAAAAACAATCTCAGAGCATTGCCTACGGCACTAAGAGGTTAAATAACAGATAGGACTTGAACCCAGGTCTTTCCTGACTCTTTGGCCAGCTTTCTATCTACTGCACCACCCTGCCTTTTCTGGACACATAGAAGCAAAATGATGGATATAGGTTTTTCTTGTTGCCTCCCATTATAATCCTGAGATGTTTTATTTCTTCCTTTTCGGTGTTTTCACAAAAGAGGGAAGTGGAAGGCATGTCGCCTTTGCTAGCATACAGCTTGAGTCTGTGGTTTCTTGGATTCTTTCTTCTGTAGTCGTGTTCCATGTGTTTCTGAAATGCTTTCACAGCAGATGCTGGAATAGCTGGCTTGGATAATGGGAACCAGGCTGCAGGTCGTGTTTATTACAGATCATTCATTCCAAATACCAAGCAAATTTCCTATGAAAATGAGTTTCCTTGCATTCAAAAAAGCTGCTATTTTTTTCTTTTCCATCTTTTTTTTATGCAACCTTTGTATCTGTAATATATCTCCTTCCAATTTTACTTCACTTGAGGTTTCTTATTCATAATCTATTTTTTAAAAATCTAGAACAAAAAAAAATCCAGATATTATAGTCAGTATTTGGGAACTAATTTTCATGCAAATTACTCCTACAATCAGGGCCAATTTTTGTGAAGTATCATTCAATATCCCTCAGGCTAGCAACCACATCCAACCAAGTATAATGGAATCAAGCCAGGGTCTGGTCAGTGAAACATCTGATTTCTTTACAGTCAGTAAGACTTTTGTAAGGCAGTCTGAATTGACTAATAAGATAGCTGAAAATATAAAAGTAGACTAGATTGATTTTACAAATACCAAATGATTTTTTTTTGCTCTCAGGGGAGTCAGAGTTAAACCGCTCTTAGCTGAAGTCATAACTTGGGTCATAACTAGTTCCAATGAATACAGAATACTTCATTAACCCAAAAGGAATGCAAACATAGGCAATTCTGTTACTTTGGACACTATAGACAAGCTATATGATTTCAGAATGATGCAAATGGCATTCTTGAAGAATCTGTTTAACTTCCAAGTTTTAGCAGAGCTTTAAAACCAGAGTATAAATCTCTATCTGCTCAGATCTTTCTGATTAGAACTTTTATGGATCACTTACTCTGAACACGTACTTGAAAATCATTACTGCTTATCTGTCAAAGTTGTCTCTAGGGGCTTTTTGTGCCTATAGGGTTCAAAGAGAATTTTTACTATAATATAAATTCAGGGGGTGAGGGTGGAATCAGTAAGCTTGCAGTTAGCAGTTTGAAAGCTGTATTCATATTTGTAGAAGTCTCAGTTAACCATTCTAATGGTTAACCCATATTAATGGGTGAGGGCAACATCCACAGATATTCCAGAAACTTCATTTGGCCCATAGTTTCAACTTTCTTCACTGAAAAGCCTTTCCCTGTGGTAATTTGTAAGAAGAAAAGTGAACTGATTTGAATTTCTCCTATTCTTGCTCTGATTATCTACTTTCTGATGGTAATAAAGGTGTGAAATTGTCCAAGAGTAGGTACAAGAAAATTGGCAAACTCATTAACTAGAGAAGTGGTATCATATAAATTGGAGAATAGTATTAACCTTGGTTTGTTGTTGGCAAACATACACACACATACACACACACACATACAAAACTACTGAAATTTTGGGACGTTTCTCAGAAACTTAAAAACCCTCATTTAGTTTCTCAGTATTATCATGAAGTTTAAGGGCTTTAATTAATAAGAGTTAAAAACAGGCAACACTTGGTTTAAATATTGCTCGGGTTCACCACCTGCTTTAATATACTGAGGAATCATTTCTAAGGAGTTCACTGTCTATATCAACAGAAGTACTGTGACATTAGCCAAGGGACACTCATGCCAGTCACATTGTTAGGAACCATTACGTTTAGAAACCTCACAGTATAGTCATTTTTTAAAAATCCCCACTATGTAAAGAAATACTTTGTTGATAACAAATGATCCAGATTCTCTTTTTGGTCAAACACTTAAGATTGTGTATATGCAGGAGGAGGGTCTAGGGCAGGAATCAGCAAGTTTCCTGTCATCTATTAGCAGCATGCGTCTTGCAAGTTCCTTGTCGTTATGAATTAACCATTCCAAAGTCCATGTTGGCAGGGATTGCAT